TGGATTTAGCTTTCCGTTCTCAGGTTTTTAACATTGCTCTTATGTCTTCTTCACAACTTAAAAAAGCATCAACTAACAGAAGTACCATTGAACACACACAAAGACACGCAGAGGATGTAAGATTAGATTTACGTTTGGTTTTAAAATTAAAATCTTAATTTTCCATTTTCTGCTGCAGAGCTTTAACTGTAAAAGTAGGCTTTGGTTCTTCTTCCCAATAGAATACAGAAGTGAACCATGTGTGAACACAGCTTTGATATAATTTGATTTTTATGTATATAGTGGTGACATGTTATTTTATTTGGCTCAGGCTCTGTTGAATAGGTATGGTAAAAACAGCATATAACAATATTTTAATTAATATTTTAAGCACTTTTAGCATTATTTAAAACATATTTATACAAACACACAAAAAAGACTATTCAATCAAACACATATACATGCAACAAACAAATAAAATGGCTTCCTACTCTCTACTTCCTGGGTGTATTTGTAATTTTAATTTATTCCTGTTGTTGATGTTGTTTTCCTCCTTTTAATATTTTGTGTTTTCCATTTCCATTTATTTACTTACGTTTTCTAATATATTTTCTAATATATTTCATATATATCTATATGTAGATATATTTAAATATATCTGTGTTTGTATATGTGTGTGTGTATATACATAGATACACATAGAAAGAGGGTGTGTGTATATATTATGTATATATTTAATCCTCTATCCCTAGTGTACTTTTCTGTCCCTTTTGTCCCCCCTTCTTTGAGCAATCTTGCTTAAATTTGTTTGTTGGCTCACTTCTGATTAGACTGGTTAACCTGTCAGTTTCCATAAAATCATAAATTTAAGCAACCAATCCCTTGTGTCTAGTTCTTCATTTTCTTTTCTTTTTTTTTGAATATATAATTCTTGCCACTATTATCATATAAAATAGCATCTTTCTGTATTTTTCCTCTACCTCTTTTTCAGTTGTTCTTAAAAGGTATGTTTTAGGATCCATCTTTATGTTTAGTGTCTTCTTGATTAACACATGTATTAGCTTCCAGCATGTTTTTCCTTTTCTACATTCCCATCACATATGATACAAAGTACCTTTTATCCTGAACACTTCAGACATTTGTTGTTTGTATTTTTATATATTGCTATTTTTGAGGGGTCAAATACCACCCAATTGCATTTTACAGCAATTTCCCTTCACATCGTAACTAAGGTGCAAACCACACTGCAGAAATAATCCAGTTTGAGACAGCTTTACCTGCCTTGGCTCAGTGCTAAGGAATCCTGGGAATTGTAGTTTATTGTGGCATCAGAGTCACAATATATACATGGAAGGCTAAATGCCTCACAAAACTACAGTTCCCAGAATTCCCTAGCATTGATCCAGGGCAGTTAAAGTGGTCTCAGACAGGATTATTTATGCAGTGTATTTTGGACCTAAGAGTATCTTTTCATCTTACTTTTCATGTCTTTTCCCAGTCTTCCAACTGTATTGGTTGTCCTGTATCTTGAGTCCATATGATCATGTAGTTCTTGACAGTTTCCTCTTCCATTTCTAACTTAGGTAAAAAATATAGTTTCAATATGAGATGTTAATTTTCATTCATTATTAGTTTCCCAAAGTCTGAAACTTCTTTCTTCATTCTGTTTAGTTGCTTATCCATTTTGAACCTTTCAGTTAGATGCTTATATAAAAACTATTGACAACAGTTTTGCCTCATTTAGTTCTTCTAGTGTCTTCATTCTGTATTTTCCTCTCTCCATAGTCAAGAGCTCTGCATATCTTAACCATCTTCCACTCATTAATTCTCCTTTTTAAAAAATGCTTCATTTATGGATGACCTTCCTGGTATCTAATAGTTCAGACATGATTCATATTTAGTCCATACTCTGAATAGGATTTTTCTTATATATTGATTGTTAAAATAATTGTTTACTTTTAATTTATTGTAGTGCAAGTAAGCATGAATAACATATCACGAGAAGGCATGACTCATTGGAAAAAAAACAATAATGCTAGGAAAGATGGAGGGAAGCAGAAAGAGAGGAAGGCCGCATACTAGGAGATCACAAGTATGAGTTTGCAGGCTCTAAGCAGAGCAGTGGACTAATGGGAGTCTTGGCGATGTCTCATCTACAGAGTCGCCATGGTCAAAATGGACTCGAGGGCAGTTAACAACAAAAGATTGGTATTATAGTAGAAGAGCGGGATACAAATAAAAGTTTTATTCATTATTTATTTATTTAAAAGTAAACGTGAGCATAGAACAGTATTGTGGTTCTGATAGTGTGTTGTAACAGAGTCTCAGTAATTTTAAGTATGCATGTTGAGTATGAATTGTACTCTGTTGTAATCTATGGTCTGCCTGAATTTGTTTTATATATATCTATATAGCTATATATATATGCGCGCACTTGTTACTGAAGGCTTCTAGTCTCTGCAAGTCTGAAATTGAAAGCTACACTCTGGTGTTCTGATTTAGGTTCCACACGCTGCTGCCAATTATATTGGATAAACAGCACTGTATGGCGAGACATCTGACTTCCAGCTGAAAGCAGAAGAGTAATCTGCCCACTTTTCACTACATTTTGCAAGACAGGTAAATTTCACATTTGATCATTCAGTCTTGAAATTTATTAATGAAGAAAATAAATGGTGTTTTAATGTTTATAGTGATGTTGCTGTTTTTTTTTCTGAAACAAGTAGATTAGGTGTGACTGTCCTCCGTAATAGATCAGTAAGATTTTGTAATACTTGATTGTTTTAACAATAATGACTCCTTAAAAAGGCTCCTCCCTCACAAAAGAAGCTGTTGAAATGGAGAATGCTTTGAGGCAACCAGGAGTTAGATTCTAAATAATACTAGTAAAAACAAAATACAAGCCCCCTTTCCCTTAATTTTAAATGTTATGTCTGGCTTTTAAGCAATTGTTTTTTATTTTGGTCCAGTCGATGGATCTTGGTGACATAAGAATAAAGTAGGTCTTGTAAGCCTGAAATCAGCCTGCCACTGGTTGGAAACATTATTAGTATTATGTTTAGTTTTTTGTGCTTAAAAATGACATTCTGAAATATGTTCAGCTTCTGAGATTTCAGAATTGTCTTTTAATTTATTTGAAGTAGTTGAAACAGCAATATATTTTTAGTACTTCTGTTGAAAGCTAGAACTACCATATGTACCTTTAGATCATTCTAAAAGAGAACAGAAGAACAGAGCAGGCAGCAGTGAGCTTTTTATTACAGTAACATCAGACCTATTTATATTATGTCTCTTGAAGATCATTGCACAGTAAAACTTATCTGAGGCTGCATCTGCACTGCAAAAATAACCCAGTTTGACACCACTTTAACTGCCATGGCTCAATGCTAAGGAATCATGGGAATTGTATTTTTTTCTGAGACATTGAGCCGCCTTTGTCAGAGAGCTCTGGTGCCACAACAAACTACAAATCCCAGTACTCCATAGCACTGAGTCATGGCAGTCAATAATCAAACTGAATTATTTCTGCAGTGCAGATGGCAGTCTGAGATTGGTAGAATTTATTGTGCTGTTTACAGATGATAGCGTCACAAAAATTATGGGTATTGTATATCTGCCATTACCTCATTCATTTCACACCATCATTTTTATAGCTAAAGAGTTCCAGAATTATTCTAGCTGTAGTGTGTGTATAGTTTTCTTCTTAGTAATTCTCTTACATTCTGGAATACTTTTTTCTTTAAAAGTAATTTTGAATTATTTTGTGGTTTGAATACAAGAAATCCATTTCATTGTTTCATCCTTAATGTAAATTTCTTTTATTCCTAATAGCTCTTTAAGGAGGACGGTGTCAACCATGAATGGACAGCTGGACTTGAGTGGAAAACTCATAATTAAAGCTCAGATGGGTGATGATATTAGGAGAATTCCCATTCACAATGAGGATATCACCTATGATGAATTAGTGCTGATGATGCAAAGAGTTTTTAGGGGGAAGCTTCTGAGCAATGATGAAGTCACAATAAAGTACAAAGATGAAGGTAGGATTTTATTTTGCCTAACAGTAATAGAAATGTTCTTTTTGTTATAAAATGTGTTCCTCCCCCAATCTGAGCAGACTATACATAGTTAGAACTGGTTGGAAGACCACCAATGAATACCAGGGATTCCTGGTGGGACTAGGAGTCCAACTCAGGGAAACTGCTACAACTCAGAGTTCACTACATTTTGTTTAGATGCACTAGTGGTGTGGTGCAGTACAGTAGCTTCCTATGTTGCTTTGCCTTCAACATAGAAAAAAGATTCTGACGTATAAGTGTTAGAAAACCGCATTAGTGGACAGTGGATTAGAGGAAGGTAGTTACAAAGAACATCACTGTAACACCTGGACTGTATATACATAGTTTTCATCTGTTCCTCAAAGAAAATTCCTCAACTGTTTTTGACAGAGACGTAACACAAATAATCCCAACATAATTGCTGAACTATGTTATGGTTGACACTGAAATTAAAAGCAAAACAAAAAGAAGGTTTTGGTTTGTGTTGAAAAATTAAATAGTTTCTATTAATATATGTAATGTTAAAATCTGCAATGTGTGTGTGTGTGTGTGTGTGTATATATATAAACACCTTGACTATTTGAATAAGTGTAGAAGGATGTGGCAAAGGTTTGGTTGTTGATGATAATCATAGTATGGAACAATTATGAAAGATTTTCACTGTAAGCACTCCCCCAAACTAGGCAGGTTAAAAAAACACACAGCCCATTTAGCTTTTCTTAACAGCTCTAACCTCCATGTCAAACAGCTTTACACTCATACCTCACTTTCTGTGCTCTCTTATGGCTACCTCCTCACTCTGCGGCCTTGTTCAACTGCACTGGCATGTTGGGAGAGCCAAACTTTGTGGGTGAGGTTTAAATTTATCTGTTTCTGGAGAATCCTGTTTGAAATGTAAATTATTGCAGCTTGCCTGTAGGTATTCTTGTGATGCAAAAGGATGTGTCTTTTGAGAGAATTTGAACCAGTGTGGCATAGTGGTTTGAGCGTTGGACTACAACTCTGGAGATCAGGGTTCGATTCCCAGCTTGGTCATAAAACCTACTGGGTGACCTTGGACAAATCACATGCTCTGAGTCTTAGAGGAAGGCAGTGGCAAGCCTCCTCTGAACAACTCTTGCCAAGACATACCTATGATAGGTTTGCCTTAGAGTTGCCATAAGACTTGAAGGCATGCAGTTTGTCTGCACACATACACACATACACAAAGAGAGCTTTAAAAATATTAGACATTGTCTTAGAAAGAAGTTATAAATTTTCACTTATTTTATTCACACGCTAGAATAAATTTCAATAATTTCTCCTTGCTGTTCAAAATTACTAGCATTCTTTATACAAAGTATACTGTTTCCTGCACAAAGATAATTTTTGCATAAATCAAGAGTTTTGCACAACTTATTCTTTACAAAAATGTTCATGCTTAAAGCAAATCTTTCACCCTATTTTGTTCAATTAAGATGAGAAAATTTGCATGTGTTCCTTGTCCCATATGTATGTAGACAGAAGTTATTCTCTTGGTTAAATCAGTACTGGTTTGTAGATGTGAAACAGCAGAAAACCCCAGTTGTCAACTTCACCTTACTTTGTTATGTGTATGTTTGTTTATATTAAAATTACATCCCTCCTTTCCATTATAATAGAAAAATCTAAGACCACTTTGCAAAAAAAGTTTTAAAATGGTGATCCCAAAAAACAAAACACAAAGCAAGAGATGGAAAAGAAATTGATTTCAGATTCTGAGTATCCATGGAAAGCAAAAATCATTGGCCTGATAGTAAGTTGTGCTATTATAGCAATCCACAGGTGGCACATGAGTGATGCTACTGATGTTTTTTATTCACCTTGAATGTTGGAGACTGATTGAAGGTGATCTAGGAGAATGGCAAAACAGCAATTCTGATTTGTGCCAGTTTTATACTTGGTTTTTTAATGGATGTCATCTACTTTTATTTTTTGAGGGCTGTTTAAGTTCTTTAGTCAGATTTGACAGTGCTATTTATAATTTGTTGCCTTCCAAATGTTGTTGGGTCACAGTTCTCATCATCCCTCTCAAATTGACTTTGTTGGGTAGAGTTCATAGGATTTTTACTCCCAAAAACTGGGGAACGTATGATATAAACAGTCTCTAAGGTAACTATGACTTTTTTATTCAAAAGGTATCTTGGTGGATATGCTGTGAATTTATAATTTGGCTCCTTTTTTTGCTTGAAATGGTATTTAACTTAATTTTGAAGCAACAGATTTTTTGCTTACGGAGATAATGTTAAATTCAGTAGAGAAAGAAGGAGATTATTTTTCCTCTCCATCCTTTCTTCTCTGAAAGGGCACAGTATTTGTTTTGACGCTTGAAGGAAATAAGACTTATCACCATACTATGACCAAGAATCTTAATGTGCTATGTATTATTCTATTATGTATGTAGTACTCTAAAATATTGACCTACTATATGGTGTACGTTCCAGATGAAATGCTTTGATCCTGATTCCTATTCTCCTTAATTAACAGATGGAGACCTTATAACAATCTTCGATAGTTCAGACCTTTCCTTTGCAATTCAGTGCAGTAGGATACTGAAACTGACTTTGTTTGGTACGTATAGATTCTTTTGGAGTCATTCAGCAATTATGATATTTAAGTTATTTTTCCTCTTCTGTATTATCTTTAGTAACACACTTTACTTCATTCCAGCTCTTGTAGTAATTCAAGTAATACAAATGGTATACATTTCTTGCTTTAGAGAAGTAAGGGCCGGAACAGATTGGTCATAAAAGCCGGCTTCTGTGCAGCTTGGGGGCGTGGCATTTAGATGACATAAACTCCCAAGATGCCTGAAAGCCACTCAGCCAACCACATGAGGGTGGCTTCAAGATGCTTTGGGGGTGTTTTGATGCCACAGGCCACCTGAGCACCTGGAAATTGTGCCAGGGCTGCCTAAGGTGTCCCAAAGCTGTCCCAAATAGGAGTGGATCTTTTCCTTTCCTGTTTGGGCCTGCGGCAGAGGGTGCCTTCAGGACCCCGGCGTGTTTTTGCTGCAGTCCTGAGCTGTCTTCGGTGGGGGAGGCTTTAAGCTGCCCCTTCCCCAGTCTGTTCTGGCCCCAAGTTTAATTATAAAATGCTAAATCGTGATCATTATGTAGAATAAGCTGGAATAAAGTTGCAAAATAGTGGGGAGGAACATGTGACATTAAAAATGTTGGGACTATAGTCCACTAAAGGTGGGCATGCTGTCTGTGCCTGATGGGTACTACTGCAACATCTTGAGAACAACAGGTACCTTACTATGCTGAGACCCAGTGACGTCACTAGGGGTGCAGGGGGTGTGGATCGCACCAGGTGACACCCTAAGGGGGGGTGATGCCACTGTTCCTCAGAACACCTACCTTTTGGCAGAAGCATGCTGTGGCATTCATTTGCTTCCCTTTACAATGCTTTAAGAGATGGTGGGAGTGGGGTGAAGCTCGTGGGAGGAGAAAGGAGAGGCCCCAAAAATCGTTAAATTAAAATGTCAAATTTCAAAATTTTTGTTTTTTAATTTTTTTAGTTTAATTTTTTTATTCTTTTAAAATTTTCTTTCAAAAATACCACATTTTAACCAAATGTTCACTATGCATATGTACATATATTTAGGTTGTACATATTAAATTGTAATTTGAAGGTCTAATTTTTATTTTGCTAGCTGATGTCACAACTATAAGCATTACATTCAGTGGTATATGGGAATTATGATTTATGAGTAACATTGTGCAAAAAAGCATTGCTAAGAATTCTGTATGGTGTGAAATGGGAGGAGGTCAATGGGGAGATGATACAAGAGTGACCACATTGGGTGACACCAACCCTATTGACGCCACTGCTGAGACCCACAATAGGCTTTCACTCTTAACTGTGAGGTATCATCTTATGATAATTGGTGTTATGTGTCATGAAAATTCATTTTCTGTTTGATAGTTAATGGACAGCCAAGGCCTCTAGAATCCAATCAAGTAAAGTATCTCCGCCGAGAACTGATAGAACTTCGTAACAAGGTGAATCGTCTGCTGGATTGCTTAGAGCCACCTGCTGAACCAGGGCTTTCTACTAGCCTTCCTGAAAATGGTAAGTTGGCAACTGATACTGTTTGAACTTTTGCAGTATTATGTATGTATATACATATGTGCCATTTTTTGTTGTTTTGTGCCTTTAAATGGTTTCCGACTTAGGGTTGCCTATCACAGGGTTTTCTTAGCCTTTTCATTTAGAGGGGGTTTGCCTTTTCCTTCCTCTGAGGCTGAGAGTGTGTGACGCATCCATGGTCACCCAGTGGGTTTCCATTGCTGAATGGGCATTTGAACCCTAGTCTCCAGAGTTGTCCAAAGCTTAAACCACTACATCACACCATATATACTTGTATACTCTTGTTTTCTAGCTGAAGTTTGGTTGCCAATGATGTCTGTACTGGTGAGGACCATTTATTTTTTTGAGAAAATGTCCATACATTGTTGCCATTTCTATAGCCTTTGAAATGACTCTGGTTAAAATTCTGTGCCTAATTTGAATAGTGACCAAAATAAATAAGTATGAGCATGCCTATATAGTCATGCTGTGCAATAAATACTTTTAATATTCATCTTTAAATACCTTTGTGTTCATTGCTGTTGTGCATTAAGATGTTCAGCTTATTCTATACTCGTTTTCCTGGAGCATGTGTTCAGTAGGAAGGTTCCTGGAGTTGCTTAGTCCTTTTATTGTGGGAAAAGGGGATGAGTGAACTTTGAGTTCCTGTGAGCAGTTTGAAGCCCAGGTTAACTGAATCATCTAGCCTTGGTGGTATATATTTAATAATGGAAACATGTACTGCTGTCAGACAGCTATACTTGTTTGTAAGTTAGCAGTCTTTTCATGTAAATGCTTCGTATTCTCTTTGTGAGAGAAACAGTGAAGGAAAGACATAAACATATGGAGTGCTTCATATCTGTGCAAGAGTTTAGAAAAACTAGAGGAGGTAGAGAGGAGAAGGTATCTGGACTGTGGCTATATTGTGCTTATTTATCAGTTATAGGTGTGTAGTCTTTTACAACATTTATATATCTCCATGTAGACATATTGGGTTATTCAGAGCAAGGTAGCAAGTGCTGTTGGAGTTGTGTCCACTAGAGGGCTTCCATAGGTTTCTGTGGGTCACTGGAAACAGAAAGCTGGAATAGATAGTCTGATCTAGCAAGTTATATGCTTTTTTAAAGACTTTCTAGTTGTTATGTTTTAGCTTAAACTATAATGGCATTTGCTTGGTGTAGATCTGAAATTCAGCTTTTTAGGTATCTTTGGCATGGATATACAGGTATACCTCAGTTAACAAAGTAGATGTTTTCCTGCACATTACTATTTTAATAGAAAAATTGATATCAGAGACAGAAATAACATGGAAAGAATAGGGATAGGTTCCTACACCACAACAACAACAAGAAGAGCAGTTCAACAGGTTTCAGACAAGTTTTTATTCAAAACTAGCAGTATGCATGTGTGAAGCAAAGCAACCAGTTCAGTTAAGCCTGGCCTAAGTAAATGGAAACATTTTGAACATCCTAGAGACCATTTGAAAGCTTCCAAAATGTATCCAAGAATAGTTTTTCTTTCACCACTCTCCATATTTGTAGATTGCTTCTTTAACATGCTAGGGGCTGCTGGTGAGGCAATCTTATCTGCTTTCCCTGATTCTCTCAATTTTGCTGTTTACTTATGCTCAGATTCTGGAAGTAGCCACTGTTTGCTTTGCCTGCTATAGGTAGGCCCATACAACTGCAGTAGGGATGGCTATAGTAGAATCCCATTCTTTCCCAACTCAAATGTTATTACATGGTTTATTTCAGACACACTGAATGTCTGTGTTACTCCAGTCCTCTTCCACCATATTCCCAGTGCTGATACTGCTAAAAAAACTTTCAGAAGTGGCTTTGTCATACGTTTTGTTAAATGAGGTATGCCTGTAGTTATGGGTAAACCACTAGTCATGGTTTAAGCAAAACTCTTGCACATTGCTTTGCAAAGGAATGTTTTC